ATTGACTATTTTTATATTGGTTATATTTTTAATAAATTAGATATGGAGATATGTATCCAGTAACAGTAATCGGTCGAATTCTTGCTTGTTCATGTGCTTATTTTGGTGTTGCAGCGAGTGGTATGCTTGTTTCTGTACTTGTTGATCGTTATCAACGTGTTTATAATCGAAAAAAGTTTTCTCCTGAACAAATTCTGTCAGCTGCCGATCTATCTAACAACCAGTATGATGAAAAACAAGATTTTATAAATAGAACAGTAAGTGAAAGTAAAAGAACTTTATCAAGCAAACCAAGTTTACCAATGGAACCAGTACCTTCAATATATTCACCCACAAATAATACAAAATCTACTGGACATAGTACGTCATCAGTTCGTGTTCTATTTATTATTTCGCTTACTGATAATGGAGCAAATAATAACTTGACGCATCAAAAAGCAAATGAACTTATGGAAGAATTAAAAGAAGCATTGAAAAATAGTAAAGATCAGATTAATTTAAAATTAATAAGTAGTAAAACAGATCCTGTAAGCGACAGAATATCAACTGTAAATGAAATGCCTTCTAATTGTGAAGATTAAATACTGTAAAAAAAATTGCTGTTTTTTTGTATTTATATATTAAGCATTTATTTTCGTTATTGTTATTAATTGGTTTTTATCGTTAATTAAGCTTGTAATAAAAAATTGAGATGATCTACAAAGGATTCAGAAACAGAGACATGCAAAATGCAAATTGAGCACGCCATCGTGATTCCGAAAACACGAATCGAATTCATTTAGTGCATCGACATCAATTTCAATAGACCTTTAGTAAACATACTTCGATCCAGATAAATGAATACGCTACTGATCGAGAGCAGTTACCACAGAAGTCATAGTTGCTGCTACATTTTGCAGACAAAAATAGTACGATGGGACTTCCTTTAGGTCAAGTATATCTAACAATGAAGATAAAAAAACAAAAATGATAAAAAAAAAGTAACTGTAGCTGCATCAGGGCTAGAAACTTTTCAGTTTCAGAGGTGAATCATAACTGACTAGCTCTTACTATGAAGATTTTTAGATAAAAATCTTATTAAATGAAAACCTTCTCAAATATGTCATGTTAAAGGTTTCGATTTATTTGAAACTAGTGTTCTCTGTGGATACTAGCCCTACTCAATCTCGATATGGTCAACCATATCTAGCACGTAGCAAATTTGTTTACTTATAGAACGTTTCCGTACTATTTTTTATATAAAATCATTCGATTTAGTTGTGTACATAGAAGGTAATAAAAAAAACTATTTATCTGAAATTACACATAAAACTGAAATGAATCCAGTGAATTATTATTCATTCCACATACTCGTGATAATTAGTCAAGAGAAATGTCATTGAATAATACTAAAATGAATTATAAGGCACCTGATGTTGTTTTCTTTTCATTTTAATTTAATTGTGTCGAGACGAGTGCGAATGTTCTACCTTATAGAGAAAAAAATCATCCACTGGAAAAAGTCTTCTGTGAGTCTCTCACTGACTTTGTTACTATTGAAGTGCAATGGCAGAGTCAAAACCAGAGGATTCCTCTCTCATGTTCGAGAAAGTAGAATAGTAGTAGTATGTAAGATCGTCGTCTATATTAGTTTATAAATATATACAATGTTATCACACGCAATATGTAGAAAGGCATGAGTCATAAGTGGTGTCGAATAAGTCTGAGACAATTTATGATACAGGTAAATGCCTGTCAAGTAAACTCGAAATTTTCATATGTTGTGTGGTTACTCTTGGCCAGTATCTCTGAAAAAGTTAAAGACAAAATAAATATGAAAAACTCTTAGTTCAGGGACATAGTACTCGCTTTGCATTAGAATTACGAATAAATTTGAGTGTGGATATACGTGTTCGGTGTTACTGTGGTGGTGGGCGTACACCGTCTCTTCCCGCATACTCTGAAAAAAACTTAAAAAGCTAATTGTCATGACAGTCAATTAATTCGGTTTGTGTGAATCTGGAGATAAGCGTATTTTCATTACAGTCGATTTATTTTCTAGTACAGAAGTGCAAACTAAAACATAAATATCCTGAAAATGATAGAAAACTTCGAGTGCTTTCAAAATATGTAATTATTTTGCTAAAGATATGTATTTTATATTGAGGATGTATTCGGAATACCGACTGCAGCTATTTTTTTCCGGGGGATATTTATATATTTATAATGGGCATCAAAATCATTCACCTACCATATCCTTTTTTATTTCAGTAGCAAAAGCTGAAGGTAAATCAGTACGTAGAAGTCAATAATGTCGTCAATATTGTATAACGAAGAAAAAAAGGATGTTGCCTATTGTTATGCTTCGTTCTCTTATTTCATTCGTGAGTATTGACATGAAAAACGGAGCTTAACTTTGCTAAATAATAGAAGAAACCTGAATGCTTGTGAACCAGATATCTTGGTAGCTCATCGGAACTCTTCGCAAACATTGCAAAATAAAAAGAATTCAATTGAAAAAATTGGAGCAACAAATGCATTTGGACATGCCACTACTGTATTTGAATATCATGGATAAGATTCGACATAAAAAAAAAGAGATTTTACATTCATTATGACAGCCACGACAACAGCTGAGATCGAAGAAATATGGAGAACCACTCACAAGGTTACCAGAATGTATTCGGGAACCATTTGACACTTCGTTCACACAACAGAGACAAGAGATGACCGTTTTAAATTAAAGAAAATCGATTTTTTTTTAGAATGAAAAGCGTATAGAATGAGAGAAACGTGCCAAAATCAAAGAAAGCAGTAGGTTGAAATCCAGAAATAGTGAGCGCATTGAAGAAGAAATTCGAAAAATAGTGACAAAAGAAAAATATCAGATCCGAACATGTTTGGCAATCTTAGAAACTTGAAAAAAACCTAAAAAAAGAGCAAAAATTCATCTTTCTGGATACAAAAAAATCTAAAGTTCTTCATTTAGGTAAATCTGTAACATACATAGAAAGATCACTACGATACATATCAAAAATGAATGCATGAGATATCTAGAAAGATTGAGACTATCTCAGACCCATTCGAAACTCCCCACATCTCTACTACAGTCTAAAAGATCACAAGTTATGCTCATCACTAAGGCTAATTATAGCTGTAATACAATAGTGATGAAATCATTGGGACTCACTGATAGTACTTACGCTGAAAAATATTAAGTGGATTTTAGTTATTCATTAATCCATATGGAAAAAATTCATCGGTACTGAATTGACACATTTTCTAGTACAATCTTTTGGTTAGTATTCCAGAAAAGCATGAATTTCTATTCTATTTATTAATTTAATAAGAGTTGTTCAAGAAAGCAAAAAACAAAGAAATGATGATTAGATAAAATATTAAAATCTTTGTAAGAACATGACAGAAAACGTGTTGAATTTTTATGTTTATTTTTCTCTGCTCTTTTCGCATTCGCATTGCTCATTTTTAATCTCGATGAATAGTTAGACTTCGAATTCAGCTTGAATTGCCCAATGATCCGAACAGAAACGTTGAATTGATTGAATAATTTCCAGACCTTCAAGTTTGAAAGATATTGGTTTAAATTTGATCATTGGTGACGTTGCCGCTCGAAAATACAATCGATCGTAACGACAACGAGGTTTAAAGTTATTATCTGAAAAGTCAAGGTTTGTATTAAGTTGCATGTCCCACGTATAGGCGTATTCTTCACGTTTGCCCATTTCAATCCATAAATCACAAATACCATCCGGGATATTACCCGCTTTTACCAGCTAAAATAGAAATATTTATCAATTCTTTAATGTTTTATAATTTGTTCTTGACTGTAGGAGATTAAACCCAACATACAAACCAAAGAACTTCGGCTGACTACAAAGTTTCGTGATATAGTCAATTGTGCAAAATATAATTTCAATGGCAAATTTTTAAAATATTTTTCACTTCACTATTCCAAAGCATCAGCGAAAGAATTTGGCTTAATGTGACGCACTTGTAGTTTATCTATCTGACTCAAAGTTGTATCCTTACTGTTGAAGAATACATAATTTTATCCGAAATGCATTAGTATTATTATTCAACTAGTCTACTAGATCAGTGATACTAGCTTAATAGATTGATAGTAGCGATAAGTAAACAAGTAATTTTACTGATAATGATAAGTGATAAACTAGCATCGAGAACTAGGAATAATGTCTTTTCTAATATTAGCGACTTCAACAAGTATCAATTATCAAGTGATAGTATTGAACTGGTACAAAAGCCAAGCAGTTGTATACTCGCTTCTCTCCTACAGTAATATAAGACGTACGTGTTACATGAATACTTAAGTCTCAATAACGTTTAGTCAGAAAATGATCGATGGTGTGTGTTACCAAGAATCTGACTATCCTGCTAAAACAAATTTGAATAAAGTAAATCTTAAAGAACAAACACAATTCATTGGCGTGCTAATGCGTTACGATTATTCATATTGAGAAAGCAGAACTACATGCAAAAAACCGTACTGATATTATTCCACAAGTGGTGGAAGAAATGATGAGCAAATATAGAGTCATTTCATTACGAATCCACTCGAAGTTATAGACGCGGGTCTCTTGACGTTTTCCTATTTGAAAACAGAATATCTAGATAAGTTTTATATTCTCTAACAAACTATAACGATTGAAGATGTTTAATGATAATGTATGATAACAAATTTAAAATTAATAAAATCTTATATGATTAGTTGAAAACTATTTACTTTCTAAATCTCTGAGAGAGTATTCAGAATTCAAAATGCTACCATCAGATTGTTTAGTTAAAAAAACTAATTTCATTTTGTATAGAGTCGAATAGAATCAGGACATCAGCGATGATAAGTAGGATCGAACTATGAAAATTGATTTGTTTCGAACTTTAATCAACTCATTATATTTGAAAGTCTTAGAATTAAAAAGCCTATCGATAAAGATGAGTTGTAGTATCGTTTATTTTTGTTCTTTTCAAGAAAGGAATGTTATGCAAGTGAAAAATCTCACCTCATTGTCACGCATATTCAAATCACCACCGAAGAGAACAATTCGATTTGCTGGAGTTTCAACCATTTTTTCGAAGCATAACTTTAATTGTTGAATACGCTCGTTGGCGCCTGCCTTGCAGCTCTCATGATGGCTTGTCATCAAATCGATCTCGATGGAGTCTTCATAAATAACCTGAAATAAATCGAATATTATTACATGATATTTGAAAGCAAGTTTCAAATAGCTTACATGAACAATCAGTAAATTTCGATCCATTTGTGTACCAGGATATGGAATTACTTCGTGACTTTGTACTTTGATGGTGTAACGTCGTGTTAATATAGCTACGAAATAGCCTTCGATATCGCCTGAAAGACAACATTTCGCTTAATCTTCATATAAATTCACTCACCAGTATAGAAATCGAATTCCGGTAGAAAATTATTCAGTAACACAAGCGATTGTGGAATAACTTCTTGAAGAAAGACAACATCTGGTTTTTCTCTAGAAAGTAAAAAATGCATTTATTTTCACTATGAATCAGAGACCAAAACAAATAAGAAAACCTTTCTTTGGATTTCTTTCGATTTGCATTCACAGGCAAGATGTTAATGTTGTCATACAAGTAGTAGCGGCGCCAGGATTTCAGTTCAGGGTGGGCTCATCATGGGTTTAGCCCACCCTAACCTACACAAAGTGTTCTTTTTACATAGCTTTCAAAATCTCTCAGGGTGGGCTCGATGTAAATCAGGATGGGCTGAGCCCACCCTGGCCCACCCCTGGCGCCGCCACTACATACAAGTTAGATACTACATATGTTCTGACTTCTTTTTCCGAGGAAGTTATTTATTTTTCTATTTTCTGGTCCTAGTCCCATTTTCTATATTTGATCTGTTCATATATATTGAAACACCATTTAGTTTTTTTTAAAGAAAAATGTACAATAGAAAATAGATTTTATTGAATAAAATGAGTTATAAAAGTTCAATATTAATGAACGAGCGAGAAAAAGAATAATAGTTGATGTTTGAAATATCGAAAATTTATGAGCGGAGTACATCTTTGAACATTAGACAAGTGAAAACTGATGAAGACAAATATTAGCTAAAAACTTTTTGCTAAAGGTATAAAAGCCAATTTCAAGAAAAATTGAATTTTAAAACAAAAGATTAAACAGATGCAATAAAAATTATCGGTAGAAATCACACAAGAATGATTATCTTTTTCTTTCTTTTTTTTTTTTTTAAAGCGTCTATCATTAAAAACTACAATCTTTTTTTCTACCCAACTTATAATAATGAATGACTACTATGAGCTAAGTCAATTTAATTAGTGTCACTCAAGCAGTGAAAGAATATGTTTCAACTTCTCTTTTTGCTTTTTTCTTCAGAGAACAAAAAACGGATAACGGCATCTCCATTCAGTTTGACTCGATTCGGTTTTTCAGTCTCTATTATGAATTTAACATTACATAGAAAGAAAACGAATGAACTTATTTTAATATTCTCTTTGAATTATGAATATAATCGTATTACCGTTGTATGACAGCAACAATACCACCAGTTCTTTCTTCAAGTGTGTATTGGAGCCTATCGAGTCCATCAATATTCCATGAAATTAATTTGAAACGTTTATTCATGCTTAGTTCCATTTGTTTTGTTCACACACTGACACTTGAAATGAAGAAAAGAAAAGGCGCACTTTAATTATCAGAAAAAATGTTGTTAATTTTTACTTCGATATATTATTCTCATTCTCTCTCTCTTGCTTCTAAGAAAGCTGTTATTATTGGTCTTCTTGTTTGCTTTCATACATATAAAACTTGAAAGTTGAAATGTTAAAATTGAAATTTGACGAATAGTAGTTCAACTGAATTCAAGTTTCAAATTTGACGCTACTTGATAATAAGATGATTAAAAACATCCGTCGACCTTGGAATATAGCCATGCATCCTCGAGAGCAGTTTTTCGGGCTTTCTTAACATTCTTCGTTCACGTACTTTGTCTAACGTGATTTGATTGTTTCTTTAAACTAATTCTCATGAATAACAGATCGAATAGAATAAGAATCAAATCGGGTACTACCGATTAAAAATCATTAATCATTAACAGAATACGCAATGGTGTTGGAGAAGTTTGTCGATTGAGCCTCATTTTAAGTGAGCCTTCATCTTATGATGGTTCGTTTTTTGAAAGTTGTAATAAACCAACTATTGGTAGTCATTGAAGTGAGTCATTCTTCAGTTGCTGATCGAATTTTTTCTGCGCAATTGAAAACAGCTATATACATGTACGTAACGCATGCAAAGACACCCATAACCGATTGAAAAGCATGATGAGATAATATACATGTCTGTTAGGTTTTATTTTCTGTCTATGAGTGATTCATACTATGAAAGAACACATTTTGATTTTGTTGAAGAGTCACTAAAGAGCACATTGTTTTCATTTCGGTCTTCTCAAATAAAAAAAAAAAACATATCGAGGAAATATTATGTAGATGTGATGTTCAAAACAAATAATTATGAACAAAAATCAGACTGAACAACATCGATATATATCTTAGCATGTCTTTTCTTTATTCAGCAACTGAATCTTTTTTTCTTCTCCTGATGATCAAATTGATTTAGATAATTAAATCATGTCACAAATAAAGAGATATCCTTTTTCGGGTATTTGTAAATTGAAACGAAACTGATGATAGAACAAAAAAAAAGTTTGATTTTTTGTCATCGGTTTTTTTCTCAACATTTAATCTTATTGAATGAAGAGAGAACATTTCATCAGATGCATTTATGACTGTGTTCTTGCCGCTGTCAACTACAACGAACGATGGATCGATTTCAATTACCAAACGAATAGTCAGAACGAATTATTAACTTATGAAGTAATTATTTCTCGCCGATCGTCTACCAAATAAGAAATCTGCTGACTAAATAGGAGAATTGAGTTGTAGTATCGTGCAGATTGTTGAAAACGTTCTTTAATAATGCAATACAATACACGGTGAATGGGAACTGAGTTGCATGAAGAAAAGAGACATTTATTTTGCCATTCTCTAACGAGAGTATGACGCGATCGGATGAAAAAAAATCATTCTTTTCATCGTGAGTAAGAGGAAAAGAAAGCAGCTGTAACAGTAAACAAGATGAAGCTATTGAAATGCAATTTTAAGTTGAGAATGACGTAATTTTATGAAATGAAATGCAACTATTGTCCTAATAGTAACTATTATTGTAAATTGCCATACAAATAAATAAATTGATTTATTCATCACGTCTTAAAGCATATTTTCTCAATTTACCGAAATTTGTAATTCGTTCTTCTTTTTGAACAAATACACATGGGTAGTTCACCTAGTCATAGTGCAGGAAACACTCGTTTCACAAACCCATCATGATATGATGGACAAAATGGTGAAGAAGGTGAATTAAAAATTTGGTCTATACGAGTTGGTTCAGTACTTGGTCTTGGAGCACGCCATTGTCTTGTTATAGACGGATGTCATCCTGGCAAACGGGTATGTTTCGAATGGACAATAATCGATGGTCAAAGTACTTTTGCTCATTATGCAACACAACGCATCTATGGTCAATTATGTTTCAGTTTGGGTCGGTATAAACTTTCAGAAGTTTATGAGGCATGTTGCGAAGCGACACATACCAACTTAAAGTATTCATCAAGCAATAATTGTAATCATTGGGTGAACCGTGCATGTTCACATCTTGGTTGGAATGTTGATTGCCAATGGAATTGTCGCTGTATTTCGTGAATAAGAAAGTGCTTAGTTCTTATTCAAAATTTTTACATTGTAATTTTTTCTTGTTGACATCTATAAAAAAAAGTATCTATTTTTTGCTATCTTGATCATGAAAGAAATGAAAATAGTAACGGTTTAAATGTGCGTGCGATTTATAGAGCTGATTAGATCTACAAAATCTGGTCGCGAGACAAAGAGAGAAGTGTTTAAGATATAGGTGAATATGTCAATTATTAGAAAACAATTGAATCTAATGAGACAGTGAAGGAAAATGATTTGATTTCACAGTTGAAATTGATTGTCAAAGCACCAAGGCATTGGCAATGCTTGAAGGAAAAAAGGTTATTGCAGTTCGAAATTTTCGCTTGAGCCGATAGAAAATGAGTGTGAGTGTCAGTACAGCAGAAAAGAACATGTGCATGTTCTTCTTTTTATTTTGCTGTCTTTCCTTTGCCTGTACATATAAAAAATCTGTGTTCGCAAATTACCCATCTGTCATTCTTGGCTCGTTCGTTCTTTCCGTTTCTTTCATCTAATGTTTGTTACCTTTTCTACCATAAATCTATGAAAGAATAAGTCACAAACATCATAAACCGTTACACTTATGAATTAGAAAGATAGATAGACAATATGAATTAAGTATTGTTCTTACAGAGTCTACATTATTAAATCTTAGGATTCAAATCAATCAGTGTCCTTTATAAATTGTATGTTATTGTTATGGTCGCAAGACAAAACTTCTTTTAGTTTGTTCATTTTCTCTGTTATTGAAGTTAGTTGCTCTGCTCTATGAAACCAATCAACCATGTCATCACCGATTTCATTATATAAATTCATAGCCGTTGCCAAATTTTCCAAAGCTGAATCTTTTTGATTCAATAAAGAATAAATATCTCCTAATAGGATGTGGCTGTCGGCTATATACTGTTTTATTTGATTTATATTCCTTGATTTGGGTGTTTCGGTCATTTTTATCGTGTACTCATGACTTATTAATTGATATCGAAGAGTTGTTTGATAGTCATGCACATCATCCATGTGCAAATAAACAATTTCATTAAGAAGATGCTTCACATCAGTTTGATCAAGATAAGAATGTTGTAGAAAAATATTTAATGCTTTCTCATAATTAACCAAAGCATGCTCAAATTTATCGATGGTTTTATATAAGTAAGCTAAATACGCGTATGTACGACCAATTTCAAATATGATTTGACGAATAAAATTTCGACATATATTCAATGTATAGTTCTTTATACTTAGCAGCCATCAAAACAGTTTATTTCTTTTCCGGTGAATTTTCACACTCATTTTCATCATCAATTCATCATGGGCTTCATTTTAAGTTGGAATACAATGCTCATGTCATTATAGATTTTCATTTTCTCATAGTCACTATTTTCTTTTTCTAAGACTGATAAATAATGACCAACTGCTAAGTTGTAGTATTTTTCAGCCATTTTATAATCATGCATAGCATCTCCACAATATTCACCAATGTCCTTATAAAGTTGTTCGAGTTCAATCGAGCAATTTAATTCCTTATCATCTTGATAATCTTGTCAGATTTTAATAGCTTGCTCATAATTTGATACAATTTCCATGTTAAATTCTTCTTCATCAATTATACGTTGTTGTTCAGATTGAGATTTCAATTTTACATCAGAAAACCATTTACTTTCTTGTGGAAATAGTTCTGTTAATTCATTGAAAATTGTCTCTTTGGGATCGATATTCCATAATCCAAATAAATTATACGCAGTCAATTTATTTACCATTCGTTATTTTTCTCGGTCGAGATAGGTCGCATTCTATCTTGTCGGTTACGAACATTTTCTTTGTTAAACTCGTCGATTATATTTTTTTATTTTTAATTGATTTTACACCCAATTTTCAAATTATTTTTGGAATTATTAATTAAGGTTAGTATCTCCAGGTGTTTTTACGTCAGGTGATCTCTTAATTATGCCTCCAAAAAAAGGAGGAACCGGTGCAAATAAACAAAGGCAAGATTTATTTAATTCACAACAAGGTCAAACAGCAGTAGCTGATGTTGGAGGAACAATGGCNTCTTGACGAAGAAGGCATGCAAAAGCTTTCGAACGAATTCGTTTAGTTAATTTCGATCCTGCTATGGCAAAAGCAGTATACTACAGAAAAGAGTAAATAGATCATTCATGAAATTCAAAAGTAGCATTTTCACATGAAAGAAACAAAGAATCAATAAAATAACACCCAAAAGTAGAAAAAGAAAGCTCCAGAGTCGAACTTTTTTTTTCATGTACTTGACATGATCAGACCTCAAGCTTTGTCCATAGCACATGCCTTTCTTGTCCAAGACAAGCACTTGAGTATTTGCATGAGGTACAAGTAATTTATGCGCTCAACTCAAGAAAATGTGACTATGAGCTTGTATTAAGAGATGAGTTATTTTGAACGTAAACTTGGAAAAAAAACTAAAACACTTTGTTTAATTACGAAGCATGTAACACTTGCTTGAATAAAAAATTCAAGCGCATGAGCAAGAATACTAAGCGATGGAACAAGATACTCAAGCACTTGAGTTCGACAAAAGATCTCAAGTCTTGTCTGAAGATATGTCCATAGCACATGACTTTCTTGCTCAAGATGCTCAAACAGTTCATGCGCAAACAAAAAAAAGTCGGACTCATGCTACTAATCAACACTTGACGACGTTGCTCAGAGGTTAAACAGTATTTGAAACTCTGCACAATTAACAAATCAGTATAAACAGATGTATATTGTCAATTATTTGGTACAATATTTATATGAGTGCGGTTAATCCTACTTTGGTCGAAAGGTAAAAATATCGAAAGATAAAAATGTCGAAAGCGAAAATATGGGTTCTTAATGTGGATGTGAGAGTTAGAATGAGGGTGAAAGAACTTCTTTTCCCATGCACTATCATTTTCGACATTTTTACTTTCGATCAAAGTAGGGTGAATCATAAATGCATGGCTCACATCGATTATTGTGGTAAGTAAAAATGCGAACAATAGTGTAACCGCTTCATAAAATACACACGCTGTAAAATCAATTAAAACGGTGATCCATTCAGGGCTATACATGGACAAGAGACTTAATAAAACGAATCGTCGCTTGATTGGCTTTGAACTTTGCTAAACGAGAAATTATCAATAATGTATTTTATAAAAAATTCCAGTAGTATTTGTATTTTGCTCACATCGACATTTTAACTATCGCTCAGCAAACGATAGCTTTCAAGTTTTCATAAAAAAAGTCGAAGAATAGTGAATATTGCTACAATTAGAATATTAACATAATTACTCGTCTTCAACTATTACTGTAACTACTCATGTATCTTTTTTCTCTTTTTAACGAAGACAGCATAAAGCTATTTCCTATCAACCGTTTGCTTACTAAGACGATGCATCAAGAAGCGACAAAATTTATATTTATTCATGTGACTTCTCATCATCTGATGAACACAAATCAATAAGTCATGAGCAGAAGCGAAACAAAGCATCTTGCGAAGAAATATAAGTATGAGTCATGCGATGATTAATGTCTGTCTATTATTGTGCTCAATTTTTTGTAGTTATAACGCTTCTAAATTATTGGCCTAGTTTCTATCAATTAATCTACAATGCAAAAGTATTCGTACAAATGTCCGCACGTGCTGTGAAGTAAGAATTCATCGGATTTTTTTTTATTAATATTTCATTACAAAGAGCATTAAAAACAGTTCTTAGAACATGTTAAAAAATACAATAAATACTTTCTTTGCATATTTTTAAAAGTTGTTTTCGAACACCTAAAATCATACGTGTTATCATGTCTTGAGGGTAGGTGTGAGGTGTCGGTGTGCATGTCAGTAGGTGTGAATGTGAAGAAAACATTTGTAACCACAACCAAGGTGACATGCACACCGATACCCGCACCCAATTTTTTTAATGATAACCCTACAATTAGATGAACAGTTTTCATCTTTCAATGTGACGAATGTCAATTATTATATATGATACTCAGTAAATAGAGACGTTAATAACCCTTTAGAATACTAGAAAATACTTTTTGAAGTATGAAAAGGGTGTTAGATACTTCATGGATGAAAGAACTACTACAAAGTACTGTGAAAAGTTGAAAAAGTACTAAAATTAACTAAAAAAAGTGATAATTACTAAGATATGTTTCTTTTTTTCCGCTTTATTACTACTGAAAGTACTTAGAAGTGGACTTTTTCCATTTTTTTTTCACACGAAGAGCATGGGCATTTTGCTGAGGAGATCATTTTCGAATAGTGTTCTGACTGAAAATTCTTCATAAGAAGGAACAAAGTGTTATGCAAAGTTTTTGCAGAGGAAGCAAAATTATGCTTCATCTTTAAAATGACTAGTTTGCTCGCAAATAATCCTAGCATGTGGCACACTCGTAGCCACGCCACTATTTTCAGAGAAGATCTTTTCTTCAGCCTGACATGTTAAATCAAAAATGAGATTTGAGGATGAAAATGGAACAAATAAACCCTTGAGGTGCAACGAAGATATAGTCCAAAGTACAAATGAATGTTACTGATTATAGATTGCAAATTTTATTTGATCAACTTGCGAATCTATGTGACCGTATTAAATTCTTGCATTGCAAAAGAAATCCCATGTTACTTTAATGACACTTTTTTCTTCTGTAAAGATTGTTTTTTTTTTCGGAGAAGAATTAAATACTTAAGTAAGCATAGGAGCAATATCGAATTTCCATTTATCGAAGGATTACACCATGCGCTTTGTTATTTTAGCAAATGCGAAAAAAAATACCTCTACATCAAGTATAAAGACAGATACTACCACTATTCTGTCTCATTTCAACGCAAACGATGGTTTCAACAGTAATTCATTGTTTCGTATTCTTTTTATTCAGGTAAGTCTAAAACGTTTTTTTCTTATTTATCTTACTTTGAACAATCTTCCTTTTAAGCCTTACAGGTTTGATTCTTCTTTCGTTTTACATGTCCTACTATTATTTTGTACGTCGTTAGTTCGAGTGAAATCTCAATTCTGTCATGGGATGTCTCAGTATGCACGATGTTCGCCAAATAGCGCATGTGCCTGTTTCCATATAGCAGGTGCTGTTAACATTGGCATTTGTGTGGATGAATTCGTAGATTGTTCTGAGCTAGCTCCATGCGAACCCTCAAACAACCTTTGTCGTGAACCTAACCATAGATGTGTTCATCATCCTAGATGTCATAATCTTCCTGTTTGTTATCCGGTGCCGAGTTTCAATCAACAACTCTGCCCATCGATGGCAAGTAAGAAAACAAACAGGGATCTACAGATTCAAGTGAAACTCGAATCGTTCTTAAAGCTATTTCTTCATCGCTCGCACACCCCCATGTATGTAACTCATGTTGGTCTACGGACAGCTAGGAAGACTCGAAAAGTCTTGAAAAAGTTGATAAAGCATAGTAGAGACAAAACGAATCGTATGCATTGAAGCACAAGTGTCATCTCTTCGCATAGATCATACCAATTACTTTGACATACAGATTCTATTGCATTTAAATGTGTCAAAACATGGAGATACCGTGAATTTTTGAATGTACATTAGACATCGAAACAAATTGAACAATTGATCATTCGATTCGATTCTCTAGGACGTGTCATATGTGAGAATATCCACTGGAACACATCACTTCTATTGTGTCACGTTTCTCTTTATTCATAGTTTTCGTTGTATACTCCACTGATTCTTGTGAATATTGAATTCACTTGGTAGCGTTTTCTTCAAAACAATTGTGATTGACATCTAACTCGAAAGAAAACGTATTTTCAATGTATACTGTCATGTCTCTAATGACTAAACCTAGTTCATCACATTTATTGCGAATGATGCCTTCAACGTACCTATTTTAACGTTTAAAGTGCAGTTATAAATTACTATATCGAGTTTCGACCACCAAAATGTAGGAAAAAAAAACGAAAAAAAGATGAATTCAAGTAATTTCACAATGACTTTGAGGTATTTCCATGATGGCCAGGTGATTCTTTTGATGTGAATCAGCTGTTTTTTCTTTGCCTTTTCTCTATCTGTTTTCAACTAAGCTTGTGAACTCACAGCAGAGCTTTTTTAGGATAAACAGTTATTTTAATAGGACTTTTTTTTTTGAGTTCAGAGGATCGAACGGTCTGATGGACAAATTTTCATATGATTCTTTCTCGGACCAGGATCAGAATTTTACATAATCGCTTTTTGTCCTAATTGCGATCTGTAGTTAGATTTCGAAGCACCACAGAAATATAATTGTTTGTGTCTTTTCACATTATTTCACTGACTTTCTGTTCTTAAATGAAGAGTGAAAGAGATCAGATACACATACCACAATGAAAAATGAGACTATTTTCTCCACTCATCATGCCCAAGAATAGAAAAATTAAACAAATTCTACAGGTTACAGTCTTACTTAATTCAACTCCGATGACAAAGTTTTTATTCAACTTGACTCAATAAGTATTAAATCGAATGTAGACAATTTGTAGATGCCTGGATTTTTCCAATACGCCTAAACTAATCATATTTTTGGTTTACAGCAAATCTTTTGGGATTTCTTGATATTTTTCCTAGTTGATGCGTCAACAACATTGTTGCCGTCCACAACCACTATCACTACCACTACCACTACCACTACCACTATCACTACCACTACCACTACCACTACCACTATCACTACCACTACCACTACCACTACCACTATCACTACCACTACCACTACCACTACCACTACCACTACCACTACCACTACCACTACCACAACTACCACTTCCACTTCTGTTCCATTAACTAGTAAGATTATTTTAATTTTTCCCTATCTCAACGTTTTATGTTGAAGAATGTCCTAGATTAATCACATTTGATAACATCCCCGGTGCTGGTCGTTTCCAACAATCCTTGCCCAATGGGTTCTCTGGTTTCCAATGGGTGAATGCCAACTATATGAATGTTTCTTACAACGAACAGGTCAATGGCTGGTCGGGTTATTCCGGTGCTCTATCGAGTGGCCAATATGTCGGGCTGAATAAGGATGGTCAAATGTTGTCTATGATCATAAATGCAGCCAGAAGTTTTACTCTGAAATCGATGATAGTAGCGTCTGCATGGAATGACAATCTCACATTAAACATAACGGGTAAACGAGGTGGAAGTGTATTCAAATCAAAACAATTGACGCTACAATTACAACCACAATGGATAGAACTCAATTGGTCAGACATGGAAATTGTTCATTTCTCGTCTTATGGAGGAGAAACGAATTCAGAAGTGCATGGAAGAGGAACACAATTTGCTTTTGATAATTTGTGTGTGGAATTTCCCAAATAAACTCACAGCCGGGAAATTTCCGATAAACTTCTAAGAATCGACTGAATAACGAAAACTATGTTCGAATGATTGAAAAAAGAAAGTATTCAAAATCTTGATTTGATTTTTTTTTCAATCAGAAATATTTCCATATTTTCAAAATGATTTCGCAACAAAGTTCTCAATTAATGAGAAAAATATGGACAATCTGGAAATTTGATCATGAATAGAGCAGCTTTGAGACTTCAGTTTGGCATAACTTGAACTTATGTTGATGTGAAGATTCCTCGAATGGTAGGTTCTCGTGAATAATCTGTTTGACCCCAGTTATTTAAAAAAATAGCGGCTACCATTCTTCGAATAGAATCCTATAATGACGTCTTCCAAGCTGGATGAAAACATTTGTTCTGCACCAATGCATCTTGTGAATGTCCGAACAAAGAGTTAACTGTGACAGTCGAGCTCTGCGACGCTGAAAGATTATTCCCAAAGCCGTCTTTGCAGCTGCGCTGGAGTCGTTCTTGCAGTTGAACATAGTTGAGATGAAGACACAATAGTATAGAAGCAGAAGCTCTGTCCCTCTTGTCTCCAACAGCCGTGAAGGGTGTTGGTGTGGGTGTGACTCATTTCTTCATCTGAATCCGTACCCACACTCACACCCTTTTCTTGTTTCTATCTCGAGAACTTGTTGAAAAATCAATAAAATTGATAAAGCAATTTTTTCTGCAGAATCTTCAGTAGAAAGAGACGGTGTTGCGTGTTTTACCTCTTTTGCAAAATATTCGAGAACCGATTTAGCAGATCATCGTAATGACATTTACTGCTAATACTCTAAAATTTGATATCGTTACTAGGGTTTGCGTGTGAGTCGGGATGAAGAGAAGACCAACACCTACTCATATACCCTCACGCAAAGTCATTTTCTGTTGCATAGAGTCCATTTCTTATCGTGCTACATAGCATGAGATTTTATGGATATAAAATCTTTTTCTAGTTCATCGAATATATTAACATCGGCTAAACTTTTGTTGCATATAAACGATTTCATAATCAGCAAGATTTAAAAAAATCACTTCATTTCTATGTAAAAAGACAGATCGAATCATCTGTTTGTTCGTGAGTCTTCTCAAAAGATAGTAAAACAGACGAGGATCTTATGTCATCAGAGTATATACTAGATTTTGCTTACATTTAACTTGCACTACTTAATATGAATATTTTGTCGCCGTAGAGAAATGAAACGAATCATATCTACATAGTTGAAATGATGTCGCCAGAAACAAAGAACTTGTCCATATAGAATCTTCTTCTAATCGATTTTAAACAGAAAGCCGTGTGGTTTGACTTGAATCAAACCGAAATACACGTATGGATGGAATCTCTTTTTTTTGTTGAATAAGATACTTTATTGTATTATGGAAAATATATAGAATTACAGTATTTAAACCAAAACAAAACAGATTAAAAAAAGAGGTCTCGGGTAATTAGTATTTTTCTGCCAAGACGCATAAGATTGCCAACTGTCGATTTCATTGCTTGAATTGTCGCTGATCAGTCATCGCTACTGGGTTTTTCGAGAACCAACAATCCTTGAGGGCTAGTAGGCTCTCCTACTGGCCATCCGATAAATCGTTTCGACAATATATCAAATCCAATTTCACTGAAGAAACTTTCCCACGCCTCTATTGTGCGATAAGTCGATGGAATTGGCATAGCTCTTCTGTCAAGGAAAATATTTATAACCCAATCGTAGATGGTCAGTATATCTTGTCTTTCCTGTTGTGATAAGGCCATAAATTCCTCTTGTTCTTCCCGTCCAAATTCTGGTGTCAAAACCGTGGAGTAGCTATCTTCGAGGACGACAAGTCTGGCTCCCGGGCGCATCATGTCAAACAGGTTCTGGATATATTTGTGCTGAGTAGATGTTTCCATGTGATGCAAAACAAAGGTGAAAACCAAAGCATCAGGCTTTGTCGTCTGAAGAAAAGAAACAAACGCATCATCCTTGACAGCATAAAATTCAATCCTATCATCTTTTTCTTGTATGTCTTTCCATTCGGGACAGCTGTTCCAATCGCATCCTATAATTTTGTTGAATCTGTGGCTGTTTGCCAACTCTTTAACGAGAACACCTGCTCCACAGCCAATGTCTAGGACACAGTCTGACTGAGGAATGCTGGGAACAATATTTTCAGCAAAATATTGGGCGGTTGTAACTTGATAATAAGTATTGTTGTATACATCCTTAACTTCCGCGTCAAACTTTTGATGGAACATATCGAAGTTCAGATGGGTAAGATCACAGAGGAGTGTGTCACAAAGTAATTGGGAAAAACCGATACGCAACAGAAGTCGAGAGATTTGTTTCTTGCCGTAGTTTAGAATTCGTTCGTTATTGAGTAGGGGAATGAAATGTGTGTGATAGGCGCTCTGTTCCACATAATTGATATCGAACCAGTCCTTTTCGCTCTTGGTGGTGGTGGTCATAATGTTTTATAGAAGGCTAAAAAAAACGCATAAAAAATCAAATCACTGCAATAGCATAACAAAATTTCTGCGACAGCATATACTTAGTGTTGCCCTACAAGACTTTCAACCTTGTGGCGCTAGAACAATTCGTCGTAATAACATAATCCACTCATAATTTATCTTTTTTCAATAATGAAGCGACTTATTCGATCAACTTTGCAACATGTAATCTAATGACTATAAAAGTTATTGGAAATACTACTAAAGGCTAAGCTTCGATTTTTTTATCTCGAACTGTACGATACTCTTCTTGTTCAGATAATAACTTAGTTAATGCGAGCTATACAAGTGGAGAACTGTTTCCTATTCCAGTGGAAATGACACTGCATTTTTCTTGCAATTTTGGCTGCAGCTCAATGCTTCTAACAATAGGGAAATACTTTGCAAGTACTAGTGAAATTTAACATTTTCTGGAGAACAGCTTTGACCTCATCACAAAAAAAATAAAATAAATTTGTGTTTTTTCAATTCTCACATTTGAAGTATAAATTCTGTTAGTTTATGAACCACCAACAGTTATATTACATATTTAAAACTACACTAGTCGGATTCAGGCGATGATTCATATAATAGTAGAAATAGTTTTGACGATACCTCGTAATTGTAGATTTTTACATACTGTTAACATCAATTATGAAGTAGGAAATGGACTCGATCATTTGACTTCCTAGAACTTTTGATAGTGGTAACACCCCGAGATAAAAAGTCAGAGTTTAGCCATGAGTAATATTTCTAATAACTTTTATAGTCATTAGATTACATGTTGCAAATTTGATCGAATAAGTCGCTTGATTATTGAAAAACAGATAAATTATGAGTGGATTATGTTATTGCAATGAATTGTTCGATCACCGTTTACATTTTGAATTTTCAACACCTTACGACTACAAGTATTGAGTACCTTAAATCCGTATTGGAGTGGGTGTAAGTGTACTCGGTACTCCCTCATCTCTGACATAGTGAGAGTGGCTTACACGTTGCCGATTCTCGACCCTTCTCTTTTCGCTTGTTTGAGCAATTCGCTGTCGATACAGGAGACGTTTCGTGGCGAAAGCTCAATTGGCATCGCGACCTCGACCAACAAAGGTGTAGCAATGGCTTGGTATAGTAGACAAACAGACAGCTTCTGTAACGGAATCTATGACGGACCCATCACTATGTAGGCCTGTTCAAGTGCAGGGTTCCCGTTTATCCTTGTAGACAGCCATAACCCAGAGTCATTCTGACAACTTTCGACAAAATGAAACTAAAATTATGCAAGTCGAAGCCAATAAAAGTATCTAATGTAAATAGCATTTCTCAGGTCGATGAAAATTTCACTCTAGCATTAAATGTCGCAATCACTTGTACAAAGTTGAACGAGAATCGCTCAAAATAGAACGCGAAAACTCAATTTGTCTGTTTCATCACTTATTCATCGAGCTCAGCTGAACTTCATAGAAATGACGCCAATTCGGACAGCTTTCATTCTACTATGGTCAACATTTGAAGATAGTGTGCTCAACCTTTCGAGCCTTTGCCTAGGTTCTTGTTAAGTCTTCATTTGCATAAAGTTTTATAAGAATTCGCGGCAATCATGGTCGGAAAGTGTAGGTCATATAGAGCTTCGTGCGTTCAGGATCTTTTTACATTCTGGTCGTGTTATTACAGCAGTGACAAAAGTTACTCCGATTCAAATTGAGAGCACAGCAACGGGCGCGTTTACAACTGTAATGAGTTTCTATTTTTGTCGAATAAGGTTACATTCCGTAAAACTCTTATGCTACAATCTAGTATTCCACTTCTCATTGTCAACCGATGATTGCTATGAAACGTGTGTTTGATGTCTTCAAGAAGTTATTTTGAAATCATTTTCATCAAGCAAAAAAATTGTAAGCTCATGACAAGACTAAAAAGTTCTTTTTTTGTCGAATCGATAGTTTTCTCATCGGCGTAATGTGAAGGTCGCGGATTCGTTCACCGAATTCGAAGACAACATGAAAAGGCGCAATAAAATAGAATTTGGAGCTGGAAGACTTCATCTGAACTATTCGAATGACTATTGCCGATCCGAAAGTTTTTGCTCATAATCAAAAGTTGAGAAAGATCGAGTAGAATCACGTTTCTCAAAGAATTTTATGACAAAATATTGAATGAGATTTGTAATGCTGAATGAACAACTTGAAAAGAGTTCAATGAGCAAGAAAAGTCGATCTCTTTTTTTATTCATTCGCTTACCTCTGCTAAATGAGAACGAAGTGAAGATGAGTCTTTTCTTTATTTGACTGATAACTAAATACAACCAGCTCTGCTTGGTTTATATGAGTTGAAAATAAATGTGCGCGCTGCATTGTCGATAACGGTGATAAGCTTCACGTAAGAATTTTATTATCAGTAGACAAAACCAGGTCGCTTTTCAACCTTGACTAAGAAAAGTTTTGAAATTAATTGGTAACGGGATGAAAATGTAAACGACGACGAAGCTACTTGAGACCTTCTAGATAAACTTAATTTCGCTTGTTGTACAACTTTTTGAAGCCAATGAATGACAGCTAGGAACAGCATTGATACCGTGAGTGTTCCTTCTTCTCACTTATACTCGCCGTAATTTTTTTGTACAATCTTTCTCTAGTAGTCTAAAAGCCGGTCGCCTTCGGCAAAGAGGCCTTCGACTTAATTCGATTGTTGAAACCTGTCACTCAATCTGTTTCCGTAACATTCTCGTTTCTTCGTTCTTAGCCGAAGGGCTACCGATGACCTGTCACATATTTAATTGTTCATAATTCGTTTCTAATCAATAATCGACTTTCTCCAATTGACATCTGGAATGTCAACAAACTTATCGAACATAATTTATCAATGGCTAAATTCATGCAGAAGAAACATCAGAAGAATTGGCAGTTTTTATACTTGTATTTTTCAATTTAGAGTGTTGTTGTGGATCACAGAATTGGGTTTCATTCGTGTTTTTCTTGAACTGAACCAATCCTAGGTGAATACTCTCAAAACTTACCCCCAGAGTGCCAAGATATTCGTCATAGACTGTCGTGTTAAGGAAAACGTTTAATGCATAGTGACATTACGAATGAACCAGATTACAGGAGCTATATGCTCTCTACTTTTAAACAGTTAAAAGAGGTTTCAAAATTTAAGTTGAAACTGTAAGATCTTTATCCTACTTGTAATTTTTGTCTGTATTTATCTTCATATATCAATCTTTGTAATAACTGAATAAATATATCAGTGAAGAGCGTGCCAAATATACCGCTTGGAAAAAAATCGAACAAAATACACTTAATGATAAAGGAAAAGTAATTGTTGTATTTAAAACATATTGATGGCAGTTTACAGGTATGTTTGTGTATTGTCTTAATCTTGCATGATCTCTTGACGCACTTGGTAAATATATCCTGCTAATAAGCGTCGATCAGGTGGTCGCTACATTGTTTTTTTTTTTGAAGAAAGCGTCTGAGGTAAAACTGATAGATTCGCATGTGCACGGACAATTGTTAGAATGCCGTGAGCGATTTTCTGCTAGTTCATAGAAAACAGTTTGAATATAGGACCGTCTACTCTTTGCAGTTTTCCATAAAAAAGCGACTGGCTTGATCGTTTATGTAAAGATTTCTAATATAAGAGACTTTAGTTTGGATCGAACTATACTTTATTCTCTTACTTCATATCATCAATTGTACCGGAATACATACAAAAGACACGTTTCTATATAACCCGAGGAAAGGGACAAGAGGCAGAGAACACGAGCAGAAGAAAGAAACATTAAGAGAAGGATAGAAGAAGGTATCAGGGGGGAAATAGATGACAGGCAGGTAAATAATAAAGAGGGATAGATGTATTGTTGTTGTAACAGTGAACAATGAATGACTTATAAGTGTCAGGGAACGAAACGAATGAGAAAACCTTCATTCGGATTCCATTCGATGCACACTAAGAGTAAAAATAATGCTATCCTTTTTGTGGATCTTATTTGCTATATATATTCTGCTGCTCTTTGTGTGTAAGCTATTTATTCTTCTATTTTCTCATAAATTTTTTAATGCGTGGTATATGCATACACATTGTAGGATATTTAGTTTTGTAACACAAGAAGTGTGATAGCGAATTGGTTTCATTGAATAAAATTACTTATCAAATTTCGATCCTAGTGGACCCCAAAATAGGACTATACTTGATCCTTGAACAGTCAGAATTTCACAAACTGACTGCATCTTGTAAAATTGAACGAGCCAGAATCAATTGCTACGAAAATTAACCCAAACACTTTATAATAAAATCATAGAAGCTTATTCCAGTAAAACTCCTTTATTCAAAAGCAATAACCAAAACAGTTGAAAAAGGATAAATGAGCAGATATATCTAAGCCATATCGATTTTAACAGATACATACTTTGTTTTGCTGATACATGCCTATCATTACGAAAGAAAATTTATTTCTTTTATGAAATTTATCAAAAAGTACTTAACTTATCACAGAATAATTAGATTATAGTAAACGTCTGTGTCGTTTGATTATACGTTCACAGTCAATACGTATGTTTACAGCAATTAGAAGGAGTTAATTATAACTTCTAAATTGGTGTCGTTTTCTTTTGTATTTCTGTGTCCATTTTAGTCAATTATCAGTATCATGTAACATAATTATGTGATCGAAAAAAAAGCCGAATGAGGCATCTCAATCTGATCCGATTCGACTGGAGCGAAGCAATTTTCCATTTGACTCAATTCGGTTTCGCTCTCTGATCAATATATACAGTTACGCAAGAACGAAGAAGAAAGTACGTTGTAACAAAAAATATTAAGAGAAAATTAATATATTATGTATGAACAATCGATATAACCATAAAGTGACGTTATATAATAACACACAACTAACTCGATTGGCAACGTCACAGTTCATATCGATATTGATAATCGTAAATTATTATTAAAGAGTTCAAAAATATAAACACAATAGACATCTTATGTTTATTTGTCCGTTCGTTTAATTGCTTCTAACAACATATATTTGCTAGTAAATTCTAGTTGTTTGTGTCCGTTATCATATAATTTCAATAGAATGTGACGGTATTTTTTTACACTGAAATCTGCGACTATCCATGGTACAGCATGCAAAAAAATTATCAACGCACCAATATCCTTAAACACCAACTTTGTTTCCGATTCTTGTGCTCTAACCAGTTTCATGAATGGCGCTTGGTGTTTCAGCGTTAGAGAAGCATAACCAAGAGTAAAATATGGCCATTGGGGTTTATGACCAAATAATTCAATCAAATCTCGGTTAGATGTTCCATCGACTTGTTCTGTTATAAAGGTTCCAGTTCCGAATTTAAGCAGACGGCCGACTTCACGAGTATTGTAACATGTGTGACGAGAGATGATCAAGTCGAATTTGGGCCCGTCGTTCGTAAATGGTAGCAGACTATTTAGACTATCTGAATCAGTTTGAATAACAATAACGCCATATGGTGTCAAACGTTGCTTAGCTAATAGAAAATTAGGTCTATATGATTCTGTTGCATATACTGTTAACTTTTTTCCTCTGATCGGAAGTCTTGGTAGTATTTCTTCTAAATATTCACCACCACCTGTTCCTAAATCTAGTAAATAAATTTCGTCATCCTTGTTATTATCATTTGCATCTGAGAGTTTTGCGAGTGTTTGGCAAATAAACTTTTTATAATCCCAACCAAGCTGTTCTTCAGACATATTAAATGATATTCGCCCACTGGAAGTTAGCTGTGAAAAATCCCAACCACGAAATTGTTGCTGCCATGTTGATTCTTCACGGAGCCAACTGTCAACGAGAGCTTCATTATCTATCATACTAAAATTAGAATAAGAAAAATTTCCCACTAAGAAATACCCGCTATGTTCATTATTTGACTTCCTACGTTAGAAATATACACAAATAAAGTGTTTACTTCAAAAATAGTGAAAATAAGAATAACTGTGTTTTGTTCTCAGATATGATATCTTATTCTGTTTGTATCGCCAGATGAAACTACGCAATATCAATTTCTTGTGTAATAACAGTAAAGATATGGCTATCAATATTTCGTAAGAGATTGTTTGCGACTCGGTTGAGCCTACACAAATCATAAAAAGTTTTATCAAGTAACTATTCAATTACATTTGAATAGTTTTTCAAAACCTTCGCTCACAAGGGCTTAAAATAATGCTTGACGAATATTCATACATTTGTAATCGAAGTAAAGCTGTTCTTTTCGATCTTGATGCAATCGTATATTATTGTCTGCCAGTTTATTACGGAAAGAAGTGTGAATATTATAGCGATCGATTGACCATTTTTAGTCATCTCGATATATATATATATATTATCACCATCATTATCAATAGAATGCTTTAATGCTAGTTCAAAAAAAGAAGTAGCATAATCAACCAATTTTTAAACAACACATAAAGTCATGGACAAACACGAGAGAATCTTTTCGAGAAGAGAAAACCAATTGAATACAATGAATGCAACAATGATAAGATCATTGATCGGTTGACCGTAGAAATGTCGACATGAAAATGATCGAAAATAATTTTTGAAAATTTTGGATAGAAAGGGCGATATTTTGTTATCTGAGATAATACTAACACTTTAACCAAGATCAAACATAAGTCAAGAGATAAAAAAAGAAAAAAATTTTAAAGTATCATTTTTTTTTCGTTTAGCAACTGTCAATGATTAACCCTGTAAGTATTCCATAACATTTATAACATCGTCATAATATCATTCGCCAAGATTGTTGATACGGCATCGACTTGAAATTTATTTGATCTGTTTCAGTGTGGTTCCTAACCCAGCATTGAACTGAATATGCATATATCAATCATTGAAATTCTTATACGCTCCAGCCGACGAATGTCCGTTAAGTGTACATTTTCCATATTGGTAGTTATTGCTGTTTTATTCAATGTGAAAACATTTGCATCTGCTATGAGCAAATCTTATTCTTTTTATGAATTAATAAATGAAACACCAGCTGCAGCCGTAGCAATAGAATTTTAGTTATATAATGGTTCTTTGTCCGATTCTTAGTTAATATATGCTAAGTATTACTCATTGTCATTACTAGCAGTCATAAATCTAGACTAGTAGAATTATAGAAAAAACAACAACGAACTGTAAACGTATTTAGAGTCACTATTTATTGGAGACATCATTTTTTCTGTATTTTCGAATTTTTATACTTTTTCATTTCAATGTTATTTTTTCGATCTTTTCTCAGCGCACCCATTGATCAGGTACAAATGATTATTGATCAATATTATGATCTTTCTTTGACGCGAAATTTATTGATCGATAAATAAGAACTTGCATTTGTCACCCATCCGTCATCCGTTTGAAAAGCAAATCAAGATTTCTTTGTTTTGTAAATTGCATTTCAATGCACAATAGTATACATGACAATGACAAGACGAAACCTTTCATCGTATTGTTCAAAGAAAATATACGGAGGACAATAAATGTTCAACCCAAAACCTACTAACCACAGAACAAAAACATAGTGATAAGGAACGATATGAATTGATAGACGACATATTCAAGTGGAACGCAATTTGTTAATGAAGCAGCAGCTTTTGTTGATTTTTTATGTAGAAACAGAAGAGAAACGTACTTCAATAGGAAATTAAACCATGACCGACACTGGTTCTTCAGGGCAGTGCTCTAATCATTGAAAGTCTAAGGAAGTAGAAAAACATTATCATTACTATGTACTTTACAACTTAGAATATGTCGAATCAAGAAGTGTGCAACGGTTAGAAAAATGAATTTGTTTTTCAATTTAATATTCTTTAACAGCCAAGAATATTCTTACCAGCATTTGGAACATACAGGAAGCAATCATTGTCCTCATGTTCGAGTTAGAGATGGGCGGAGGTCACCTTTCTTTGATCTTGTATGTGTTCGATTTCCAGTTTCGATATGCAAATCTTGCAAGTAGGCAGAAGTTTTTTTGCCGATAGCAAGATATTCAAATTCTGTCCATAATGCTATTGATACATAGAGTTGTCTATTTTCTGGAGAAAATTCCTGAAGGAGTATGCCTTTATATTTTTCGTTTTTAGGGATAACTCTGTTGAAGGTTTTGTCTTTCACAGGATGTGCTTTCCTTTCGCTTTGCACTTTCTCGTCTGCATTTATTTTCACTCATTTCTGTTCTTTTACTACAATGGTATTCTCTTTTTTTTCTCGATATGATATTTTAATAGTACTGACACGGTTCCACCCATGTCAAAGTGCAACATATATCAATATCAGATGATAACTGGATTTGTTCTCTTTTAAAGCTCATAATGTGTTTTGTATTTTGTTACATTGCCAAAAGAAACCTATTTACGGAAATACTATCAATGAAACAAATCAATTTCTCTTGGAATTTTCAAAACTTGAGTCATAACTGGCTTCTAAATTTCAACTACGGAGTGAACCTTGTACAAAAAAATCCATGTCTGGATCGAGTATATTGCATTAGGCTTAAGGGCATCCCGCCCTTTCCTGACATCAAAAATTCACTTTTTTCTATTTCAATTTTTTTTGTATCTAAACCCAAATTGTATATTTGAACCATTTGCAATAAGTATTGATTGACGAATTGTCAATGTACAATAATACCAAAGAAATAGAAAATGAAAACAAGTATCTATTACACGATTAGCTATATAGTTGTTTGATATCAATTAATTGTCTTAAATTGTTTATTTTTTGTTTGAATTTTCGATTAAATTCAAGATGATGTTCTTTTTTTTTTTAGATTTTTAATTTCTTGTAATTTTGCTAAATATATTTCATGTTTATGTTCAAATGAATCCATTTCTATTGATAATGCTTCCCGTTGCTCAATAAGATGTTGAGCTTCACTACAATGATAAAAAGAATTATGCATTTTTTTTCTCTGTTCTTTTATTTTTCTCCCGTTATTTACTGTCGTGAAAAACATGCTTATGAGTCAAGATCAATTTTTTTTCAAATTTTACTCGATAATTTTCACAAAAAAACGTGTGCTATATTCGTATTTAAAAATCAATCAATTTCTATAATATAATTAAAAATAAGGAGGATTAAAAAAGAAAACTTTGAAAAAAATACGTAATAAAAAAATACGGTTTCAAAAATCAATTGGTTGTTCAACAATTTGACGTCATTTCTATCCATATTCAATTGTATTTTATATGAGATATTGTTGCTTTTTTTGATTGCATATATTTCGTTTTATAGGTTTCGATTTATTTATTTCTTAATTCATTTAATGTGTTATAACATGAATTAGATCAAAGAGGAAGAACACTCAATGAGTTTAGCAGATGGTTGAATGTAAAATGGGCATTTGAATCATTCGACATCACTTATGGTTTGGTTGAAATTTTTCATGTCAACACAGATTTATCATAGCTACTTTTTCAATTGATTTTTTTTCTATGCATTTTGAGCACATGTATTGAAGGTCATACAATCCATCTTTTTACTTTGTCGAAGGTTTTTAACAAAGTAATTTTTGACCCAGACAAAATAAATACTAATAGGCTAAAGATAAAATGCCGATGACTATTACAATGCAAAAGAAATCATTAACAGAACGTTTCATATATCATTTTTTTTCGATTTCAATACCAAATACAAAAAAAAATGAAATGCTAAATAACAGAACCATCTATTATTGAGACAACCGATGACGTTATGTGCTTTATTTTAAGGAAGAACGTAGCAATCATTGTTAGAATCAAAAAGAAAAGAAATGACTAATGTTGTTTGCTTGCAAGTGTTGGGAAAAAAGTGAATAGAATTTTAAAAATTTCATTAAAAAAGAGATTATGAACATTTCATTTTTATTTTTAATTTTGATTCAAATTATTATATATGAGCTATTCACCAGACACTACGACTGATTCACCGATACAGTTTTCAGTCGAAAGCATCAGACTTTGTTACATTTGATAGATGATATATAAAATAAAATTTTTCGCAGAATTGGTTCAATCCTTAGCATTCTATGAGTTTCACATCCACAATTATTATAAATTTTCATTTCCTTCAGAACTTATGTTTAATTCATTAAAAAAAAATCTGCTCGCATTATTTCCAAGTGTGTTTTCAAAGTACAAGTGTATATTATTCATGAAAAAATTCGAATATGAGAACATGAATACGACAATGATTCAGTATAAGTTGTTTTTCTGAATTTCAATTGGTTTCAAACATCAGTAGGTTACCAAATATTGTCGTTTGAATCAGTACATGGATCATCCACGATGGCACAGGTAACGTCAGTTTGACTTATCACTTGCCAAAGATTGTATATTGCTTCCATATTGTTGTCATCGGGAAACCTGAATGATAAATCATTTAGAATGGACAAGTTTAGTTAAGTTTAGTCATATCTATTGTAAAATAATGTTATGAAAATACTTCCGTTTTATTCTCATGTTAAGTCTTAGTATACATCTCGTAATTCATACCTAATTTCATATTTTATTCGATGGCACATTACTCGTATTGTCAATAAAAACCATCATTGGGATCTGCATAGATTTTGAATTATTCTCATATTTCTTTCTATAAATTCAGTTTAGAAGAATATTTATGTATTAATGAAACAGATTTCATGATTTTTTTCTATGTATTTTTTCAACATGGATTAATATTCTTCTTTTTGTAACTTGAATGATAATCCTCAATTTTTTACTTACTCAACTGCAATTAGAAATTTGCATTCATCTGTTTCATCAGATAAATGGTTTCGTATGTTAGTGGCACCAAGTTGTACTAACGCATGATAGAATCGTTCCATCATATCTATACTAAGATATATAAAAGGATTTATGACAAGATCTTATTTGATACCTTGTGACTTCAATGTGAATAATAATTGCTTCCGTTGTGAAGAGCTTGGCATTTGGACCATTACAGCATCATGAAATAAAGAATCATTCTAAAATAAAACATGAACATTTCGTTTGTATAAATGCTACTTTTTTAAATTCACCGTGTCTTTTTTTGGTAAAAATTCAGTATTATCATTGATGTTTGTTCTATTTTGAAAGTATAGGGTTGTGTTTTCGTTGTCAAATTCTGGAATATCAAGTAGTAGATCGAGAAAATTTCCAACGTGTTGACATAGAGTATTGAATTTCTCGTATGGTACCTTTAATAGATCGCATAGTTTCGATGACATTGTCGTCCAGAATGAATTATTTTCAGATACTGTTCGAAACCATGCAATCATAAAATCTCGTTCAAGACATTTAGCAATACCAAAAATGAGTTCATTAATGCCAGATGGTGGTTTTGAAACGCCGAAGTCTTCATCAACATGCTGTGTACTATTAACCATTGTAACAAGAGCAACTCGATCGTAATAGATGATGCCATCTTCCTTGGTTGACTTGATTTGTGGATGAACCGTATTCAATAATTTACAAAATTCATCTACAACACTTTGCCGATAACGACCAGCCCACATATTCGTACAGACTAGTGCACAGAAAATATTTTTTCGATGACATTCCGAAACCATCCAAGCAACATGATCTAATACAGCGAAAGAGCCAGGTGATGCACAATAAATCATACATATTGGATTAGTTGTTTCGATTAATGATGCCATATAAGTACGAACGTCATTTTCATTCCAAGATTCGATACCTGGTGTATCCCAGAAATTGGTTTCATGAATTACCCGACCAACGACACTTCGAGATGAATATCGATCAATATCTTTTGTACGAGAATTTAAACTTGCATTCGACTTTGAAAGTTCTTTTCGACAGATGGCATTGATCAAAGTGCTCTTACCAACGCGAGCCGAACCGCAAATAAGGATGTTCGATTGATTAATATTTTCTTCCATCGATCTTTATTGTCTAGAAGCTAATCGCAAACATAATATAGAAAAAATTATTCATAGAAAAAAAAGTAATCAAGAAAACATTTTATATTTGCCGTACTTTCGAATACTACATAGTGAGAGTAAGGTGAACAGATTTTCGATCATCCGACTTGAACTCAAGTCCATATTGGATAACTCTGCAATTGTCGCTATGTGAAATGGGTGGATGAGAATGAGAGTAATGATGTATCTTCTCCTCATCCTATCCTCCGTCCTCACCCATCCACACCCTATGTTAGAAAGTAATTCACAATATACGGAGAAACAGTAGAATTTTCACCTCAAATTTGTAGTAAACAAGAATCTGGGAATCTGTGTGTTTAGAGAGAAAAAGTAAAATGACCTGAAAAATTGATATGATCAATCATATTTTTTTGACATTTACTTTCATGCGATAAACGAGTTAAAGTGAATAATTTTTAATACATGTGAGAGCAACACGAATAATGTATTCAGAAAAGTAAAATACAAATCACAACGTTTTAACAGATCAATATGTATCATCATAGTCTGATTATTTCTTGCTAATTTCTTTCATAATCAATGGAATTAGACCTTTTGCAATATTTTTGCCCTCGTTTTGAAGAAATTCTTCCNTATATATATGTCGGAGTTGACTTTAAAATTCAGTTGCCTTTAAAAGGCAACTAGTTGACTTTAAAATATTTTAAACTCAACTAGTTGTCTTTAAAATAAATTGTAAAGTCAACTAGTTGCATTTTAAAGACAACTAGTTGAGTTTAAAATATTTTAAAGTCAACTGAATTTTAAAGTCAACTCCGACATATATACATCAACTTAAAAGAAGAATTCTTTATGTATTTCAGAATATTAATTAACTCATAATATGCGTCATTCATTTATAGTACCCATGTAAAACTTTTTTTTCTATTTAACGAAGAATTAACGAAAAATAATGCGTGAAAAGATAAATTAACGAAACTTCACGAATAACAGCTACATGAATTCTCGTTAGTTCTCTTAAATTCGTGAAAACGAGTTAAATTTTTCACGCTTTTTCACGCGTGATTGTCTTTTTAACGACTGATAACTAGTTAAACATGCTTTACCCTTGCATTGAATTTCACGTGTGAACAAATTTAACGCGTTTTCTTGAATGTTTTCATTTTTACCTAATTATATCGCCTTAATGATCGTTAGATTATACATCGGTTTTCACGAATGAACTAATTCAACGAGTTCTCTTGAATATTCTTATTCTTAAATATCATGAGTAGTGTTTCTAGCACACGAGTGTACCCAGTAAGAATAGAATGTAAGGAGCCTTAGTGAATTAGAATTTATCTCATTTTATATACTGAAAAAAAAGTGTACAGTGTCTCCGTCAGTCTCTTTGTCAAAATTTTTTTAAAGAACTTTGTTCTGCTATATATTTTATTTTCCCCTATGTACTCGGCAGTTTCATTTCTGTTTTTATGTAAGAAGAAAAATGCATTCTGTGACCAAACTAAAACAGCCTAGTTAGTGGCATTGTTGTAGAACAATATGGGATCCATAGTCTAATGTGTCTAAGACACAGTGCACTTGGACAGACACATAATTTATATTGAGTAATGTTTCGATAGATTTTCTTCTACTTTTGTTCGTTTCTTAATTTAATATTTATTTGGGACATAGTTCAACTGTTTTTGAGTCAAGCGCGAGATTTGAGAATGTATGACGCCCTCTATAAAATATCCTGTAATTTTTGTGTGAAGTATTGAGTTACAAATAAAAGAAATTGACATTAATAAATAAGAAATATTAGCGGCTATTTTATCAAAATATTATTAGATGAACGAGATATTCAAACCATTTTGCTTTTTATCTTAGACTCAGTAGACTAAAAATTCATTATACTTCAGCTAAATTTCTTATGTTTGTCCATTTGTATTTACGGCGCTCGTTGCTAACATATAAAGTTTCAGAAATGATTTAACATTATTTTCTGAATAGTGTACTACTTTCATTAAACAAATATCATATAGAAAGTTACATATCAAGTTTGAATCAAGAAGATTGAATTTATATTTAAGATGCAGAAGGTCAATATTAGTTCCAAGATTAGAATATCAGATGATAATAATATAGAAAGTGTTCAGTGTAGAAAATATTAGAATAAGGAATGAGTAGCTATTGAAGGTAGATATATCACCACTAGACACTACTTGAATACCAGAGTGATACTTCAGTGTACCTATTATCAGACAAGATTGGTTTTCGACTCTTTTAGATTCAATATTTTTTTGTATTATAATTTTGCTTTTCAAATAAAGTTGAGTAATGAGAAACCATTCAGTTTAATTTTCTCCTAGAGTTCTACTTCTTATGCAATGACTAGCCATTCCAATGCGCAGTTAAATATTTATCCCGATAGATTTTCTCCAGGTAGAAACTAGTTAATAACATAGAGATGGCATTTTAAGGGCATAGATAGAAAAAGAGATTACTAGCACTGAAAATGAAGAAATGTTTTCCATCTTTTTAATTTACTTTACTGGTATATTTTTTTAGAGTAAACTGAAAGATAGGCTATAGATGAGTCAANGCATACAAAAAAGAGAAAAAAGTTGTTGTGTTTTTCCAGCCCCACTTTAGTTCGTTAGCGTAGAAATACAGTAATATTGAGAATTTTCTAGACTGTTATCAATTATACGAATGATTAGCAATTATCAGTCATCAATGTTTCTTAAGTTTTACTCATTTCGATCAAAAAAAGTTTATATCACCAACTATACTAGAATATTGTCTTCCATAAACTACATGTAATAATTCAACGAAAATCAAAGTACTAGTCTATTAAATCGGTTATTTTTAAGATCAAGTTTAAACTTTCTTGTATTTTAAGTTAGTAAAGATTCAAAAAATCATGAGTTGTCATATTCCACTATAAATAAAAACCAAATAGACTAACTCATAATTTCTTGACTTTTTACTAACCTAAAATACAAGAAAGTTTAAACTTGATCTTAAAAATAACCGATTTAACAGACTAGTACTTTGAATTTCGTTGAATTATTACATGTAGTTTATGGAAGACAATATTCTAGTATAGTTGGTGATATAAACTTTTTTGATCGAAATGAATAAAACTTAAGAAACATTGATGACTGATAATTGCTAATCATTCGTAGAAAATTCTCAATATTACTGTATTTCTACGCTAATGAATTTAACGATGAAGCACGCGTTAAAAATTTTTCACGAGTGAACACGTGTTAAATTTGCTAAATTTAACACGTTTTCCAGGTCAAAATTGTAACATATTTAATCGTTAAGTCGTTAAATTTTTAACGAATTTTCACGTGAAAAGAATTCGTTAAATTGTAAAAAATTTTTACATGGGTAATCTCACAAGAAACTTAAATATTTGACAAAATGAATAATGCTTTTTTTGTGTATTTATTGCGAACAACGTCGCCAAACATTTTTTTCTATAAGAAATGTAAAGTTTTACTTACGAGACAACGATCAATGAAATAGTTAGACTTAGTGAAGTCGATTTTGGCTTGTAGAAAGTGAAGCGTTCGAATAGTGTAAGAGATTTTTATGTGGATGAAAAGGAAAAAAGACAAATTTTTGTAAATGGTCACTACGATTTGAGAAGCATACGCATTGTATTGCAAACTGAGAACTCACCAAACGGTTTTAAATGTTAAACATCCAAATCAATAGTTAATACCTATATCTAAGATCTATGATATTGCTAGACGTCACATCGCCAAGGTAACAAAAGTTTTGACTATGTGAATGCATAGAGTACGCACAGCAGTATATATCCACGAAACTGCATCACTAAAAATAACTGTTTTTTAAAATTGAGAAACTATACAATTTTTAAGTTATAATGTGATTGCATCCTGAACTTTCTTACTACAGAATATATGGATGGTTATTTGAACAGCTCAAGACAAGAACTATCTGGAGAGCTAAAATTTTTGTTCATGTTTACAACTCAGTAAAGACTATGTGCTGGTGAAGTATAGTATACATCAATCAGATCATTGTAAGGATATGTTGCAACTTCTTTCGAACAGCGACTCTCCCTTATCTTCAAAGAATTTCATCTTGGTAAACGATAATTGAATATATAATTGATGTTGATTTTTAGATAGAGTAATGCTTTCTCGTATGTATTTGAAAGAGTGAATTTTTAGTGTGACTTTTAAAAAGATATCAGATCTGTTTAATTTTCTTCGGTCATCTATTCTTATGCTTGCGCTTCTATCAAGCAGTAATTTGTACAATTTCACGCAAATCTATTGATTCATTGGGAAATATTATAGAAAAAAATTGATTTAATAGGATTGAATATAAATTCTAATGTATATTTAATTGTAGCTATTAATTAGTTTTGTTTCCCTTCTTTTGTCTTCATTGGTAATAAGAAGATCGACAACATTATGACCACGCAAATACATACTATCACGGTTCAAAAAATCAATCAAGAACGCAATGAAGAGAAAATTGAATTACAACATATCAATGACGATTTGAGCATGTACTTCAGACGAGTAAAAGATCTGGAAGAGAGAACTCATCAATTATCGATTCAAATTGATAGTATGAGAAATCAATGGGGTAAATTGCTTGAACAAGTTGTATTTTGAGCATTCGAGAAAATCAATCAATATTTTTCTATTCTATTTTTAGCTTCTGGTTCTGCAAAGACTAGAGAAAGATATGAAAAAGATTTGATTGAGCTTCGAAAACAAATCAAAACGACAAACTGCGACGTGCAATTAGCTCAATTGCGAGCTATTCGAGCCAATCAGAATAAACTGTCAATTGAACATCCAAGTTCTTTTGTGAACGCATGTTTCGCAGTTAATCAACAACACGCTTCGTTCTATGCTCAAGAACTTGAACGAAGTCAAATGGAGCTTGATTTATTGCGTAGCCAAGTTGCAAATAAGGAGCGGGATATTCAACGAAGTAAAGATGAACTACAACAACAATTGAGCTATTTACAAAGTTTGAATAAAGAATTCGATAAGAAACTGATGGATCGTGCCGTGCTCGAAACTGAGCTGCAGACACTTCGAGAAGAATTGGAGTTCATGAGAGCTGTTTACAAAGAACAGTACAGTGAATCGCATTCGCTAGGTTCAGTTCAAATTATTGTTGACAAATTCTATCGAGATCAACTTGCACGAGCAATCGTTAATATCAGGAAGGACTTTGAATCACTTGCATTTCTACAACGTGAAGAATGTGAAGGTAAGAACAAATATTGATATTGAAACTGGCTTAAATTTAAATATCCCGTGATTTACGCCTAATTGTTTCTGTCAATGCAGTGCATAAATATGTGGCCCGACTTAGTAAAGTCAATGCGGAATATTGATGTACTTAGTTAAAAGTTCAACTGACTGAGAACAAAAATAGGCAGCAATGTGCGGTTTCCAACAATGAAAAGAGAACAGATATATAGTTTTTTCATTGATACTACAACAGTTTCACATTGCATATTAACGGCAAAGAAACATCGTCACATCATCGTTGTCAATTTCCGACAAGCGTAGCTTATCAGTTACTTACATTTGCGATGTATTCAATGCATACGTGAGTATCATTCAGTCTCACGTTGATGTATCTGTGTAAATAATATGACTACGCTGTTGCATTAGACTATAAGTTAAATATCAAACAGTTAAAAACTGATATATAGTGATGCGTCTATACTCGCATAACTTTGAATGAAATGACCTTTTATACAATTTTAACATCTATTATTACGGGTTCAAACTTCATGTTTATATGATTCATTTTGAACACATTTCTCAATGTATTGTCTACATCGTTAAACATTTTAATTACTTTTTATCGAAAGCATTTGTAAGTTTTCATAGCCTAGTATCAAGCTTTGACAATGACTGATGAAAATGTATCACAGCTTCAGGAACCATTTCTCCACTTATTACTTCACACTTATTATACTAGTGTATAGTTATAACTGCATTCAGACTGAATTATATATCAGGAAAACCTATCGACATATAAAGATGATGAAAGATATTGCTACAAAACCTGTTGAACAGAAGTATGTTTGTTCATGTGAAATGAGAATTAGTGAAATATAAATATGAGAATGAACAATACGTAAAAAGACTCATTTCAGCTGAATTGTGGATGGTAAAAGATTTTCGATAAATGGGATATTTAAAGTTAAATCTTCACTCTTACTTTCCATATCCCTCATCCAATAATGAAAAAAATGAATCAGGATTGCATGACCACATTCATCAACGTGTCATGTTTCGAGTAATTTTTTTTCTTTGAGAAAGTTGAACTTGTTATATTTTTGCTTTCAGCATACCACAAAAGCAAATTTGTACACATTTGGAAAGAGATAAGTGAGCAAGAACTTCAGAAGAGACAAACAAACCATACGACTGTTGTGGAAAGTAACTATGGGAAATTATTTGAGTTGGAAAAACATGAAAGTCAAAAAGAATTAACAACATTACAGTCAGAATATGCAACTTTGATCGATCGTGTTCAAGAACTAGAAGAAAAACGGGAAAGATTACGGTTCGCTAGATATCAAGCACAACTCTCATTCGAACAAGAATTCACTACATTACAAGCTGAGCTTGATGTCCGACAAGAAGCTATGTCAAGTATGCATGAAAACAATATTTCACTTCAATTCGAAATAAATACATTCCGACGATTATTAGAAGGTAATCATACGGTAAATTTATCAATTGTGACAGTACAATCGCATAGAGAGCTTGTAATAATGAGTCTCTAAGAGTGTGGATGTGAACATGTGTTGATTTTTTTTCATATGGAAACTCACATAGACATCCCATCTCTAAGAGAATCTGCAAAATACTGAGATTACCCGATACGATATTTCTTTGTAGATTAACACGTGACATTTCAGAGCTAGAACCTTCTTGCATATCGGTTCATTGCAAAAGATCGGACTAGTCTGCCAGTACCCATTGATGTTTTCTTCATTCAGTTAAACGATTGTTTCTTTTTATTAGTCACGTCAACCGAGATAAACCCAACATCAGAGATACGTTCAACAGAGCATGTAAAACTCGTTAAGGTAAAATCAGTACTGTAGTTAAAACGTTTACAAATGCTTCAATGAATTCTGTTTCTTAGTATCAAACGCCAAAGAAACAAATCGTGGTGCAATCTTCCTCTATTTGTTGCAACGATCTTCTCGGTCTCACTCTCGAATGCGATTATGGGAATTTCGTCGAAACAGGTACGTGTAAAGTATTGAACTTTTTACTGCTATCAAAATAGTCACGCCACAAAAGTTGAATACTTTATGAAAAACTACGTGTGAGAATCACAGGTTTCGAAATAGAAATTGAATCGAATTAAATGGGCTATCGATCTTTCTTGCCAAACATCAGCATTTATTCACGGTGTATAATCGAGTCTGTTCTGCTGTTTAGGGAAATAATTCAACTGTATACTCGCATGCATGCTTGTATTTTGTTCATAGGTAGAGCTTATCGTGTAGATAGAAATGCCAGAAAGGTACTCAAAAATTACTTCAAAACTTTCATCCAATACGTTGAATTCCACCTAGTACAAACCAATACATGGTTCTCTATTACTTTTCATAGAAAGGTCCTTTCACAATGCGGAAAGTTATTTTGGAAAAATCTTTGTACTCCTATCCAATTCTGTTGGTCAAAATTTTTTTCCTTGTATATTACTGTATTGATCTACAGATATTTGTCAAAGAAATATCTTTTTCATCTACACAGGATATTTTTATGTAAAGTAATGGATGATTATGTTAATCTATACTACGTCGAATTCAACTCATTCAATGAAACTCTTAGAGTAATTTCCGAGCACGCTCAAGTACGCACTTGATAGAAAAGGACTAATTTTTGTTATTTTTCAATAAGACTTTACAGACCATTCTACTAGAACACACGTCAATTCTTCCATAGCTTTAAATTGTTCAGCGGGTACTTTAAACCCCTACAGATCCAACTACTATACCCTTTGATATCTTGGGGTATCCGATCGCATTTAGTCAGAAATTTGGGCTAAATCACAATTTGTGGAAGATCTCTGGAACAAAGAAACTATGTACAAAACTGAGTCTTATATTATAGTAAGTAACCACGAAGATGTCCTCATAGCGAAAAATCTCAAACCTCTGACATGATCGATTCATGAGATATGTAAATGCGAATTACATTAGAAAACGACCACTTTGTCGTGTTACCACTTGATAGTATAAATCCACTCTTCAAGAGCAAAATTCTTTGAAACCGCTTGGGTCGAAATTCTTAAAATTTTTCACTTTACAAAATATTTTAAATTGACCATAATCTGATGATTTCGATTGAGCACATTAGATCGCAATTTCAATCAACTAGCTCATAATGCAATTTTAACAGTACGTTATCCTTGTAGAAAATTTAGCAAGCGATAGAAAACTGAAAACCTATTATGCTTTTTCAAACACATTTATAAAGATATAAACCAGTTTTCGTATTGGTGCAGTTTAACAAAACTCGAGATTATTAAATGAGTGTGTTATAAAAAAAGTTCCTGCCAACTTTTAACATCACTCATTAATCGCATTTTTATCGAACGATTCACTGTTCAGATTGTCTACTAGTGCACATCACACTGTTTGCCATGTCATGTTAGCGGACAAATTATAGAAATAACATTGCCAAACTTTAAGATGCATAACGTTCTAAGGCTGTTTTTACTCAGCAATAAGACATCTCTTAATGGCTTCATAGGATTACAAAAGCACAGCTTTGTATGTTTAATGATATTAGCGAATACGATCTTTCTCATGATGCGCAATGAACTGAGTCTTTATTGATCCTTTTATGCAATCATTGCTTTATTAATATGTAGTGAAAGTAAGTGAAAAATGCTTATTTGACAGGATGCATCTGAATAGACAGCCATAGTGAAATTGAACCATATCAGTCTGATATGATATTCATTTTCCCTGAAATCAAAATGAAATTCAGCAATATAAATGCTTTTTTTGGTTAAGATAGAACAAAATTATCAGTGAGCCACAAAATAGATAATTCAAAATCATGAGTTTTGTAAAATTTTTGAAAAAGTCTTCTCAACGGCAGTTGTTGATAGAACATTTTACAAGCTTGATTATAGGATATCGCTTTTCAGACCATCCTAAGGTTTCTACCTTTTTTTTGTTTTCGTTATTATGAAAGTTACAACTAACAAATCTAAATAGAATAATTCTTATATGTGCACGCTATTATAGTTGAAGTCAAGCAGTGTTATTTACTTATTGTTTTCGTTTAATATTTTACAGCAAAATTTCTGATATGTTGTTGTAAAGAGTTGAAACGAGAATTGTTATGAACGGATTCAAGTTTAGTACTGAATCTTGACTACAATATCACAGAACCACTTATAGTATCATCTATACTACTACATGCACTAGATTGATGAGAGATGACAGGGTTAGTCACCGATATATTTCTAGGTGCATCAACAACAACGCAGACTTTCAAAAGAGATATCAAAGTTGTGATCGCATATCTGAATGTGCCATTATCGTCAAGATCTGTGACTGAAGATGAAAATATCGATGTCAACTATTTTGAAGATGATTGTGATTGTATTTCACAACTGTTATCAATAACGGATAAATTACTTTATCTCATCATATCCGCCTCATCAGGCGACTTTGTTGTACCACTGATACACAGCCATAATGCAATCGAAAAGATCTACATATATCAGGAATCTAAATGTGCAGAATCACTTGATTGGATGCAAGAGTATTCAAAAATTGTACGTAATAAAACTTCGCCCAATGAAATCATCGAACACATTAAAAACGACATCGCTTTAATCACACAACGTCCCTTTCGCTGGTCAAGGTCGAAAAAATTGCTGGCCGAATTGTGCTTACAATCAACTCAAGTTAGTACTCGAATGTTGTCTGGCGTATCAGTACAAGATGACTCGGATACATGGTGTATTGTTATATTATACTTCAATAGTCATCGTGCATTTCATCTTTCTCATCCAAATATTACAATTAATACATTTGATAATAAGGATGCATGCATTAATTTTATTCAAAATAATAATTTCAAAGCTGTTTTTTTAATTATTTCGATGGATTTACTAAATGATATTCAACGAATAATTGAACTAGATGTTGTACAGGCCATTTACATTATTACTAATTTAAATTTGAATGAACATATTCAAATGATATCATCCTATTCGAAAATAAGCGGCATATTTTTTCTCAATGAAGATCTACTTGAGCAACTTATAACCGATATTTGTTTCTATCGACAAATGCGACTTTATAAACCAGCCATGAGTATCTTTAAATTCGAACCTAATATATTGAAGAAACTTACCAATTATCAAATTAATTTTCTCTTCTTTCAATTATTCAGTGTCATATTACCACAATTACCGATTCAATCAATCAGTAGATTTACTCACAGTATGACCAATGACAAGGAACTATTTTCATATTTAATCGATGTGAATATTACCGTCAATAATCTCTTCAAACAGTTCAACATATCTGCACTACAAGAGTCAGTGTTGAAATTGAACGAAATCAATCAGCACATCATGTCTTCCGTACAAACACTCGATCCATCTCCAGCTATTTTTTATCGAGCTCAACTAATGTCACAAAATGATTTAGATGTAATTAAAAACAACTCGAATGCTTTACTTGCCATACATACATTTATTTCGGCTTCGCGTTCATTCGAGTCTGTAGCCAAAATATGCCGTCAAGCAGTCGATAGTCAACTCACGGTTGTTCTCTTTGAATTGAAAGTAGCTAATACAACATCGTTAGTGGATCTGAATTCAGAGTTGGTAGTTTTTAGTCTAGGTACTCTCTTTCGTCTGGTATCTACTGAGTCAACACCAATTGGGATCTGGAGAGCTCAACTTGAATCTGCCAGTGGCTCTATGGAACGTTTAAAAGATCAGCTTCGAATCGAAATTGGCGGTCAACTTACATGGTTAACTTTCGGCAACTATTTAACTGCAGTCAAACGAGTTGATGCTGCTAAAAATTATTATAAATACCTTTTACAGACACTTCCATGCAATCATCCAAGTCTCGCATCGATTAATAACAACATAGGCTTGATGTACTCAGAAATGAATGATAATCAACTAGCATTGAATTCATTTAAGAAAGTTTTAGAATTCAACATCAAGAACTTGCCGATGGAAACAGAAGAAAAACATTTAACAGTTACGGACTTATCATCACCTCAATCATCCACTTTTGACACAACTACAGTCTTGAACAAAATAGCAGAAATGTACTATCGTCAGAAAGAATACACGAATTCACTTAAGTATTATCGTGAAGCTCTTCAGCTAGCAGAAGATGCAAACTTGCGTCAATTTTTTCAAGCTAAAATTGAAGCATTGTTGTCTTCTAATACAAATTCTCACACATAAATGTACTTTTTTTTCATGTTTATATATTGTCTGTATTTTGTAGATTTGACTATCTGTTCATTTACTTCATTGATCATCTTCTAGTAAGTAGCATCAAACATTTGTCTATCATAAAGAACTTAATTCCTGCATAATGAATCATTCATAAAAATAGAAAATGGTACGCACCGAATGGGCAACTTCAGTTCGAAACGTAATGAGCATCTGGTATCATGATAAAAATATATCGAAGGATGTACTACGACAAATAGAGATACATCTTTATAAAACTTTTCCCTATATGCGTATATTTGACAACCTCAAAGATCTAACTGATTATCTTGCAAAGAAACTGGTTACTACACATTTTGTTTTTATCATCAGCGTCGGAGACAAAAAAAAAGCAACAGCAATTAAAAAGCTTGTCGCCGAGAGACCGCAGTTTCAAAGTTCATATGAAACAAAATTAGAGGATGATACATCATCAATGGTTCCAAATCTAGCATCAGTACGTTCGAAAATGGAAAAAATTTTTGGAAAAATTATTAGCGATCTAAAAAATCTCCCAGGAATAAATAGTAATTCAGAAGAAAACATCAATAATGAAAGAATTATGCATGAACCAACAATAAATATCGATACCTTCAAGTCGATCTCGGCACAAAACTCGTTTGTTGATTTGGATACACAGTCACTCAAATTTCTATTGTTTCAATCTTTAATTGAAATGCTCGTAACAATGACATATCAAGAAAAGGCTTTCAATCATTTGTGGGATCTTTGTTCTATGAACACGAAAATATCTCGTAATGACGAAAAAAATATTCAAAGAATAAGAAACGAATACCAATCGAACAACCCAATATATTATTATACTCAAAGCTCATTCCTCTTTCGACTCATCAATCAAGTTTTTCGACTTGAAGACGTCGAAAATATATTTCGTTTTGGCTGCTTGTTAGCTGATCTGTATAAACAATTAGAACAACTTGCCAAAAAACAAAATCGGAATAAAAATACAATCACCGAAAAATTTTATCGCGGCAAACGATTTTCAACCGAGATCGTACAACAATTTAAAGATCATGTCAACCATTTGATTTCTATGAATGGACTTTTTTCAACAACCGAAAGTCCTGATGTTCGAGATATTTTTTCTGGCAGTGGAGAAGTTCAAGGTGATTACCATAGCGTGGAATTTGAGATTAACATTGAACCGGCAACAACAAATTTAATCAGACCTTATGCAAATGTGAGAGAAGTGAGTGCCATTCAAGATGACGATGAAGTCTTGTTTTTCATGGGTTTCGTATGGAAAATTGTATCGATGACAGAGACATCATCAAATCATTGGCATATTATACTGCAATCATGTAAAGATTATGACCCTCAATTGATTACATATATTGAAGAGGCAAGACGCAACTGTACGTATTTGTCAATCGGCAACATTTTACGAGAACTAGGTGATTATTCACATGCAAACAACTTTTATCAGCGTATGCTAAAGGAGACTATGAGTGTCGAGATTCGTGCTGATGTCTATTTCCAGATGGCTATATTAGAGGAAAATCGAGGTGAATACATGACAGCACAGGTTTATTATGAACAGGCAGTAAAATTATTCAAACCAAGAGTAACAAATGATAAAGACGAAGTAGCGTCGTCAAAACCTCTCTTTTCACAAGTCATAGGTCCAACTCGAGCGCAAGCCTTGAACAATTTAGGCCGAATTTATTTCAAAGATGGTGACTATGAAGATGCAGAAAACCATTTCAAGAAGGCTCTTGAAGAGAATCTAATTTCGGATGTCGAACGAGCTAGCGTGTTAAATAATTATGGGCTGTCATGTATTCACCTCGATTTTCCTCTAATATAGCCATCTGGAAATAGACATCAGCACGAATCTCGACACTCATAGTCTCCTTT